TCTCTCCCAGTACATTCCCTCCCTTCCTTCTCACCCCCCCTCCCGTCCTCTCTCCCACCCTCTCTACCCCTCTTTCCTCGTTGATTTTGTTAGGCGGCCACAGCAAAGAAGGTTGCAAGTGGAGATCAGATGATAGTGGGGTGTTGCAACATCATAACTGCAAGCTGGGTCTGCAGCCAATGTAAGTGCAATGATCAGTCGTAACTACTACTCATTCAGGACTGTCATAAGGCTCAACATTCATCCGTGTGGTCATTAAATAAGGATAACTTGTAATGTGATTGCTTTTGGATAATAAGCTACCCTGAGATTCAAGTTCTTTTCAGATATCAATACTGAGACTGAAGGTATTTGCAGGTATTATTTTACACTCTCACACGTGCATCTGTGCACATGCACATACATTGAAGCACACGCAATCCACGCACACACAGAGACAGAGGTAAATAAATCACAGTGTGAATTAGAAGGGCAGTTCTTAACGTATGGTCTAGGGAACCCAGTGTCAAGTCAAATGAATAAATATTTTACAACTCTTCCGTTTTATTTTCTAAAACGGTAAACATCAAGAGATACGATCCACATAAACCAAAGCTCTTCGGAGTCCTCAATCAATTTTAAGACCGTAAAGGGGCCCTGAGACCAAAATGTTTGAGAATCAGTGAATTATAAGATCCCAACAAAACCTTGCTATAAACAATAGCTTTTGGGGTGGAAATGCCACTTACCTGGGACTTTCTGTTTGACACCTGTTCCAGATGCCACTCCTGGCAAGACTCCTAGACCTGGATAGCGGTATCCTGACATATATGGAAAGGTTTAAAGTTTTAGTTTAACAGAATAACAAAATAACAGAGTTGGAAGGGACCTTGGAGATCTTCTAGTCCAACCCCCAGCTCAAGCAGGAGCACCTATACCATTTCAGACAAATGGCTGTTCAGCCTTAAAATCCTCCAGAGTTGGAGAATTAATAACTTCTGGAGCAGAGGTGGGTTGCTCCCGGTTCAGCCTGGATCAGGTGAATTGGTAGTAACAGCGAAGGGAGGTTCCATCCACCCACCCAGACGCTTCTGCACATGCGCAGAAGAGTTGAGCGCACACAAATAAGTACGCATGCGTGCATGAGCGAACCTGTAGTAAAAAAAATTGGAAACCCACCACTGTTCTGGACGCAAGTCATTCCACTGATTAATTGTTCTAACTGTCAGAAAACTTGAGTCTTTTTATCTCACATGCTAAATTGCAAGTGCTCCATCATTATCTTTTGGTTCCTTGAAATGTGCTAAATTTGCACCTATGCAATCAACATCATGTTGCTGAAAGGAGGGAGGGATGGCCTTTATGCAGGCCAAACTCACCTGTGCCAGGAAGTACGCCTCCAGGGAAGACTCCTGGAATTCCAACACCTGTCAAACATAGAAGATAGATGCTGCCATTCTTCCTTCCATGACTTTCACCGACTGGGGAATTATAGTTGGTTCAAATGCCTTAACTAGAAAAATTATCTCACTCATTCTTGGAGTCAATTTAATGGTCTCAGCAGATGGCAGTACAAAACTGATCTTAGAAGCTAAGCAAGATCAGCCTTGGTTTGGTTAATACTTTACTTGGATCGAGAACCACCTGCTAATTTGGGACATTGCTTTGGGAAGCTGAAATAACATCCCAGAAGAAGACTGTAGCAAACTTCTTGGGTAATGCTAAGAGAGTTTGTGAGTTAAAAAGCTCTGGGCAAGAATTTTAACTAGGTGAGGTTCAAAGTCACTAGGTCAACTACCGGTAGTTTCTACCCAGTCGAAAACACCTGCTGAATTGATTTTAGCTTCCTTTCTTCAACACTTTCATTTTTGTTTACCTGTGTACAGAATTATAAACCTTCCAAGTAAGTCCTAAAGCAGTTTAGTCTCAATAGGCATTTCCTCTTTAAATTATCCATTAGCTAGTGCCTCTATTTCTCACTAAGATAGCAAGGCAAGACCATTTATGCCAATCAATGTTTGTGCAGGGACTTCAATTTCCAGAATTCTCAAGTGTTTATGCTACTTTGGAATTCTGCAAAATTAAACGCACCTGGAGAGCATCAAATCGACAATGACTGATGTTAAATTTATCTATCTATCTATCTATCTATCTATCTATCTATCTATCTATCTATCTATCTATCTATCTATCTATCTATCTATCTANTATCTATCTATCTATCTATCTATCTATCTATCTATCTATCTATCTATCTATCTATCTATCTATCTATCTATCTATCTATCTATCTATCCAGTCAACTTATATAGATGAACAATAACAGCAAAAAATGTAAAAACATCTAATGATCACTGAGAACAAACCCAATTATACCCAATGACGTCTCAGAAGCCATCAACCTGCCTGACCCCCATGCCCCGGAGCACCTCTAGATCTTCAGCACTTTCCGAAAGGCCAGCATTGCAATAGAACAGATCCCATTCTTTAATTGAGGGGAGCCAAATTGATTCCTCTTGGATTAAATGTGATGGGTAGAAATAGTGGGGGAAGGTAGTCTTGCAAAGACAGTAACCTGGTTCCTTGTCCTGAAGGGAGCTATAGGTGACAATCAGCGCCTTGAACTCATCCAAAAACACCCTGGGAGTCAATACAGATTGTGGAGTAGAGGCATAGCATGAATATACCAAAACATACTCGTAACAGTTCACATTGCTGCATTGTGAAACATTTGCGTTGTGCTAATTCACTTTGGAGATAACTGTAAAAGTAATTATGATCAGGGCCTCCTATCCCAGGAAAGCTACAACTGACACACAAATAAAGTTGTACAAAATCTCTCCTCCCCAAGGTTGTTATCTGCTCTTCAAGCAGGAGATCCAGTTGATTTCCAGATTGCGTTCCAGTTCTATTGGGAGAAGTGCAATCCCATGTAGAAGTAAACATGGAAAACCAACAGAACCAGAGGCCCTAAAACTCAAGCCACTCAAGACTTGCTTGCATTGGGCAGAAGACTAAATGGCACAATACTCTTAATCAAGTCAGTTAATGGCTGAGTAATTTTACTGTGCCCTGATATGTACCATGAGCCCGGACTGTTTAGCTGGTTTCTGGTTGCAAGCTTAGAAAATGGATTAATTCAGTGGTCAGGTTAAATATGTAGCTACTTAGGTAGGAATAAGGCCCACAAAACTGCATAAGGCCACCTTTTAACCAAATATTCTTAAATACTATATGAATGAGTCAGTTCATACTATTCAATGGGGTTGTTTCTCATCCACTGAAGATTGTTGATTGCTGTTCTATTTAGAATTGGGTCCTTTTGGCCCCTTTTGACTATTTTTGATGGGGAAAAAAGACTGTTTGTTAGCTGCCAAACAAACCCCCACATGTAGAAAAAATAGGTAAGTAATGATATTATCCCTAAACCAAATGTATTGTTTACACCAAAGCACTAGAATAGAATAGAATAGAATAGAATAGAATAGAATAGAATTCTTTATTGGCCAAGTGTGATTGGACACACAAGGAATTTGTCTTTGGTATACAGTACCGGTATTCTGCTATTTTTATGACAATGTTAGGTTCTTCTATTTGTTTGAAAAGACTATTAGTTTCCCAGATGGACATGGAGTGGAAGTAATGTTATAAATGAAAGACAAAATGTTGTTCATCTAGACTCCACTGTGATTAGCCACCTAATCCTATAAATCAGAGAGCAAAAGAGGAACCCCACGTTATGCCTTCAGTTTTCATAGCCCACTTACTCTCCCAGCTAATTAACGTGTTATTAAAATTCAGAGCACTCATCCTTATTTGAGCTGAAGTTTCTTGGAGCAACTGCTGACCTACCAGGGATTTTCCCAGGCTTGACTCCACCACCAGCACCTGTGGGAGCAAAAGAGACCAGTAGTTGATACAGTGCAAAAGCCTCAGGTCCAGCATACATATTTGTCTTCTTCTTTTTGCTGTGGTCCAACCCCCCGCCCCCCAACAACTCCAGATGCAAAAAGGAAATGTTGTTAAGTAGCAGTGCAAAGGTGCCTTCTGTTGGATCGTGCAGTCTTTGTGAGATTATGCAAGTCAAAATCAGGAAAAGTATTTCAAGGGTTAGTTAGAAAGGATTGATTTATTTTGGCCTAAACAAGTTAAAACATGACGGGCTATGGAGCAGAATTTAACAGGCCATGATTTGAATGGGTATTTAATGAGCAACTTTATTTCATTTTGTTTCTTTATTAAATGTATATACTGCCCATGTCATTCTGAAAAGTCACTCTGGGTGGCTTACAGTTAAAAATCATAAACATTAAAATATTAAAAACATTAAATACAACACTAAAGGCAAGAAGCACAAAAGGACAAATTAATACGCTTCTCGGTTAACCCACTAACCAATTCCAATGTTGAACGACCCCCAATGCTATTGTTCTTTTATTATTAAACTCTTAAGATGAGTTTACAATAAATAAAAAAATAACTGCAATTTGCATAAACTTATTAAACCACTTTGTGCTTGGCCACCTGCCAATTCCCAACTGAGCAAATGCAAGGTTGGTAGGCTGAGATGCACGGGAAGAATTCTGGAATGTGATATGAAGATTGCCATCATCTGCAATCACTGATTATTAGATTTCTGAAATCCTTTAAAAAAAAAAGCTCTCTAAACATGGCATATTAACATCATCAAGTTGGTGATGCTAATATGCCATATGTCTTCTGTCTATTCGACAGATGAGAAATTTCAGAGGAGTTAGCACTTAACATCAATCCAATTGATACCACAGAAAAGCCACCCGTCTCCAATTACAGTAGTTCATTTAAAAGAAGAAGAAGTAATTGGAGATAGATGGCGCTTCCAGGGTATCATGGTTATGTACCCATAAAAGGTAGCTTCAAGTAGCATGCTTAACCAAGTCACTTTATGTCCTAATGGTAGCTTAGATCAGTGTTTCTCAGCCTTGGCAACTTGAAGATGTCGGGACTTCAACTCCCAGAATTCCCCAGCCAGCATTCGCTGGCTGGGGAATTCTGGGAGTTGAAGTCCGGACATCTTCAAGTTGCCTAGGTTGAGAAACACTGGCTTAGATAGTGTCTACTTTTGTAGGGTCTTTGGTGATTTAGCGTGTTTTGTGAACCCAGACTTTTTGATTATATAACTTAATGTATTGTTCTATTGTGGAAAGGTTCTTTATTTAAATGGTCATTTTCCCCACAACAGTATAAAAAATGAGAAATTCAGTGACCAACTTTACATCTGGTGGAAACCACCACAATGCCATTGCACAATGACCCAAAATAATGCAAGTAGACATTTTATATTACAGTATTTCCACTGTGGTGTCATGACGCACACAATACCACTTCCTCTCCTTGCCCATGACCAAGGCAAGTACTGTATGTGGGGGAATGGAGCTCTAGTGGAGAATTTTGGTTTCATGGTTTCCACTCCACCATAAACAGCTTCTGTAACTTGATAAGCAAAGTCAAGAGACGGTACCTCCAACTTTCTCCTAGTTTGAATCATGTGATTGGAAGGAGTTGACATTGGACTTACTGGACAACCGTTCTTGTTCAGAGCTAAGATTTTTGGGTGCAGAAAGGTTGAAAAGATAATCATTCCAGGTTAATAGACCTACCAGGTAATCCGCCCACACCACCTCCAGGTAGACCTGCACCTCCACCTCCAGGTAGTCCACCAAAGCCACCTCCAGGTAGCCCTCCACCTCCACCTCCAGGTAGTCCGCCTATGCCACCTCCAGGTAGTCCACCTGTGCCACCTCCAGGTTGTCCGCCTAAGCCACCACCAGGTACACCAAGTCCTGAAGATGATAAAATACACACTTATGGAGATTTGAGGTTGGTGTTGGGATGAAGTTAATGATTCCCTTCTATCTAGACTTCTTATATCTAAGAGGGTGATATGGTTTAGAAATAGGAAATATGAATAAATAAAATATAAACATATCAAAAATAAAAAAAATATTTAGGATGACACAAAATAGAATTTGCTGCTCCCACAGGAGTACTCTTCTCACTGTTTGCCCACTCACACAAAGACAAAGAAAAGTTTTGTAAGAAGGGATAAAGAAAACACGAAAAATCAAGTTCTAGGCCATTATTTGAAGGGATTTAAGATTGTTA